TTTTGCCAAGCACTTTTGCCAAGCACTTTTGCCAAGCACTTTTGCCAGCATTTTCTTCTAGTCTTAACGCTTCCATAGAAAAATCAATATATATACATACCAGATCTTAAAGTAAGTGCAGGAGGTCAAACTTTCTTGACCCTCCACACCTTCCACGTCGTCTTCCCCCCCGACCCCCCTCCTGTACTCTGCCGAGATAAGATCTTGTAGGCTTGGGGGTGTAGCCTTGCTCGGGCCAATGGCCACAGGGACAAGCTGGCCGCAGAAATCTCATCTTAACTTAGTGGCTATACGGTATACGTCAGTCCAAAAGTCCAGGCAAGCAGTTCTTTTTGATGAAACGCTATTAGGTGGAGGCCATCGCAAGTAGGTTGGAGGCCATTACTACTAACAAGAAGCTACTAGTAACTAGAAGCTTCCTTGGGAATCGTTTCACCTGTAGTAATGGACTCAGATCTCGCTTTCAGTAGACTGTGTGGGCCTCAACGTCACCTTCATGTGTACTGAACATAGCTGGTCAAGCGCTTACACCGGTTTTACGCTCTTTGTAGCCCATCAAACAAACAAACAAACAAACAAACAAAGAAACTCAACGTGGTCTTAATCAATAAGACTTGACTTGATGACACACTTCCTAAAGAAGAAGTTCCACAAAAGAAAAGAATGCGCAAACAATAGAATGTCGACTTGGAGAACAATACCTTGCCCGAAGAACCAATCAAGTCCAGAGAAACACAGCACGACAGTACACAACACATAAACCTAGTTGGATATTGGTCATATACACATATAAGGCCTGGGAGCAATGTGCAGCGATTTGGAGCGATTTGTCTGATTGCTGGGTGCCCCTACCACTTCGAACCTGACACGGGTCAAACATGCTGATGTTTGTAGCCCCATACAGTTTTGAGTACCGCCTTGGGACCTTTCAAGATCTTCAATTTTCGATCTCACAACCTCACAACGAAAGCGACGACATAGCTGAATCTTGAAAGAGTTTGGATCCATTCGTCCTTGAAGCCCGCTGAAAGGTGTTGACATGCAAGGTTTACAGGGACCCGGGGAAACAATCAAATTGCCTATGCAGTACAAGGTCGGTAAGCTCGGTGTTGAATTGGCGAATGCTAGGATTGGTTCAACAATGCTCACAGCTGTGCAAATCCATCTATGTTGCTTTCAAGAGGTGCAGCTTTGAGGCCTCTAGTTTTTGCACACCTTTGAAATTGAAAGGCTTGACCGCAGGATGAAAGGCATATGAAAGGCATGCGTGATATGCATTTCACCCTCGCAAATTGGACAAGAAACAATGCTCAACTTCAGAAGACTCACATCCGTGCGATAGCGGAACAGCCATGGGCACCTTGGCTTGTCGCGGCCAGTGGACCAGTAGGCCTCCTCGAACTGTTTCAGCAAAAGCCTGGCTGAGCTGGCTCAGCTAGCTGAGTGCAAACCCTATTGCACTTTTCGCCGAGTCCTGTTTCCTGCCCGGGTCAAATCTGCCAAACCAAGCCCATCACCAAATGGAATTTGGAGCAGTGGTCCCAACCCTGCTGTGCCAGGCACCTGCACAGGTTTTCCGGAACCTCCTCGGGCTCCTGCCAGGGTCCGGAGAGAACTCTACTCGCTTGAGAGACGTGTCAAGCTTCGGTGTCAGCTGTAGAAAAGAAACCTGATGTCCGCCAGGCCTACAAAAAGCCAGCAAAAACCAAAGGTTTGCAAACTTGTTCCTTTTTGCTGTTCGCAGCATGCTGCTCTACAAACCATTATTATAGCTATAGCAAATCCCTCCCTATCTTCAAATTCTACTTGATTTCTGAGCAAGTCATTCCGCCCACACGCCAATCAATCCGCCTCTGGCACTTCTGCCATGCTGGCCTCCATCAGGCTGCAGTGCCCCATTCCAAGTGAGAACTGCTTCCCGTCTTGCCAATCAGACCACATGAGTTCTTTGTGTTAGGGATAAGATTCAACACCTCACTTGCGGTGAAGAAACAAATTTATGGGGCCACAAAGGCAGGGGAGACTTCTGAAATCTGATACTTAGAAGCTACAAACTCAACCGCATCACAATGTCACAGTATCACAGACCCTAGAAAACCAGATGTGTAGATGTGTTTATTTTAATAAACTATACGTCGAAATATAAAGGGAATGGACACTATTGCCCGACAGTCTTGTAGAACACTGTGCGACAATTTCGCATGACGCTCTTCTAGGACACTCTTGTGAGACTCTCTCTGGCACTCTTCTCTTGCAACCGTGTGGGACACTCTTGTAAGCCCTATTTTAGAACACTCTTGTGCCACAGTCCTGCAGGACTCTTGTAGAACACTACACGCTTGAACGACACTTCTGCAAGACAAAGACATTCTCGCACGACACCCTTTTGAGGACACTCTTCCGCAAAAAGTCCTATAGGACACTCTTTTGGGACATTCTTCCAGACACTCTTGAGCAACACTCTTGAGCTGCACTCTTGTAGGACACTCTTGTAGGACACTGCCACTGTGGACAATCTTGCCTGAGATGCTTGTGAGACACTCGCGTCGGACGCGCTTGTGTAATTAGGGCACACACTTCCACACACTTGACAAGATGCTCAAATTTGCACGCTTGCACTGCTGACACTTTCCGACTTCACGCGCATCAACCAGAATTGCAATTTTACCTTTGACTTGTAGTATACCCATCATATGTCATAGGAGACCTCACGAGGCGACTTCACATCACTTTTGACGTCACCCAAATAGGAGACCTAGTCCACTCATCAGGACACCTTAGCTCTCAATCCTTCCCTCAACGCGAACGAGGTCTTAGGAGCAATGTTCGCTACTAGGGGCTCCAGGCATCGCTACTAGGAGCAATGTTCGCTACTAGGAGCAAAAAGCACTGGGAGCAAGGACGCTACTAGGAGAAAAGGGCATCGCTACTAGGAGCAAGGACGCTACTAGGAGCAAAGGGCATCGCTACTGGGAGCAATGTTTGCTAAATGGCTCCTGGCTGTGGACGCGTGGATTGCACAGGCAAGCAAATGCTCGCAAGACTACATGCCAACGATCGGCGAACACACCCTGACCCCACTATACGCTCTCCCATCGTCAAAGTCCTCAGTCGTCTCTCAGGGATCCGCATGTCAAAAGTGTGCTACACAGCGTACAGGTTTTTAAGCAGCTGCCGCCAGCCAGGGCTGGTAGTCACAGCTCTAGCTCATGTGGTTTCGTTTCAAACAGACTCTTACAGAATTTCCCGGTGCACTCTGCTTTACTGGTGCACATGATCTCTCGCCTCACTGGTCGCGCATGGCTGATGTGAAAACCCGGGCCTAAAATACAAAAATTCAATTTAGCCAAGGCCTCCGTTCGCAAATGGGGGCCTACGAAAAGCCGGGTTTGGCTGGGCAAGATTAGTCAGCAACTCGATAGTACTATATGCTGGAGGTTACAGCTGGACTGGGATTGAAAATTAGCCTTCCTTGTCTTTCGCATGTGCCTAATGCTTCCACAGGTTCAAGTCCCATCCAAAACAATATATGTATACCATCTCCATCACCAGCTCAAACGCTGGTTTACCACTGCAAGCCACGAAGTCGAGGCGCAGGCGATTGTGTGACGCACGATCAGTGGTCAGTTGACACTCATAGACAACATAACCTGATTCTGAAATGTCACATTAGCATCGCAGAGTTATCGCAACTAGTGATGCCTCGATGGTGGAGGCTGCAACAAGAAGTGCGTGACACAGGCCCCGTGAATCCATGAGTGGCTGGTGGAAGTATATTTGACACCAAGGATCCCGGGTTTTCTTGCAAATGGGAAACATTGCAACAATCCTCACTTCGGCATCAGCACAGTCAAAGTCCGCACACTCGATGGAGGAGATACATATCATATAAGTATGTTCATAGGATATCATGCTTGGGCATGGAAAGCATAGAAACCAATAGACCAGCTGCTCCCTTAGTTTCTTGCCACATCTTGTATGTCTGTGTGTCCTATCTAATCTACCATAGCCAAAGTCGATCGAAATCTAGCTCGACAAGTGTTCAAAATGTAAACGGACATGAGTATCCATAGGCACAAAGGCTTCAAGACCGCATATTATAGCATCTTATATAACCTTGCCCCGTCATCCAGTTGCCTGAAGCTGCAGATGGCGCAGCTGACTTGTCGGCAGGCGAAGCTGCAAATATGGAAGAAGGCCCAGCTCACGGAAGCAGTGGTCACCTGAAGCCTTGCCTGCAAAAGCCATCAAAACTTTGGGGAGTGAATCCCTTCGTGAACCCAACCAAAAGCGGCGGGCGGCACCATTGGCTCGGGCCTGTAGGGGCCTTGGGTCGTCGCCGCAATCAACAGAATGTCATCGTGTAAAAAAGGCATTTAGCCAGCTGGATGACATTGAAAAGCTGTGCTGTATTCCCAAATACTCGATACACAGCCTCGCCCAAAGAACCGAAGTACCCACTTGAAAAGCTACTCTTAGTCTTATTCCCATCACAATTTTGCCAGACCCTTGTCAGAGATAGACTGCCAAAGGAAAACATGCAGAGAGATTGGGGCAGTTATGATTAAAGAGCATTGGCACAGCCCAGCGGTAGAAAATCCTGCTGCTCATGCATGACATCACCAGTTTGTGGCTGAACGACGCCTTATAGATTGGGTGGACAAAGAGGAATTCGGAATTGGAGCATCATTTTTATAAAAGAGAACTAAGAGAACGTCTTGAGAGTTGAAAGTTCACCACGTTCTGGACCGTTCCCGGGTACATCCATGTGCTCAGACATCTTCATCGTGCTCTGTGCGCCCTGCTCCCGCTCTTTCGATTTTCAACCGCCTTCCGGTTCTGGGCCTCCGAACATCTCAGGTGGGAAGAAACTAGCCTGGAGGCGTTCGCCGGTGTCTGCCCAACGTCGCTAGGGATCGAAACAAATACTCCAAAGCCGATCCAAAAGAGACAGGCAAGAACCTTGCAGTAGATTTGGATTTTATTATAGTACCACAAGTGCAAGGCGGCCTGGTTAGTAGGAACAAGAAGACCAGGCTCAAGCAAGCAGCTCAAGGTTCAAGTTCAGGTCAATTGGTAGTTTGGTTGGATTGTTCAGTTACCCAAATAGCTGTCAGCCACCCGTTTTCCACAACCTCGGGCAACGTGCCCACCTGAGGCAGGAGAGGAGCCAGCAGACCCGGAGCAGGCGAGACAAGGTCGCTCGACCTGGGACACCGAGATTCATCTGGACTCGATCCAGACCAGGCGGTCGAAACCATCGGACCGTCGAAAACCGTCATTGATGTCTGCACCATGTGTTCTAAACGTCAACAGCGATCGGTGTTTTGTTCTTTTTTAATGCCTTTTAAAACAGACTCAGCTGAGTTGCAAATCGTCTAGGATGTACCGCTCGAAAGTTACAGGTGCAAACCTAAGTAGACCAGGTACGCTTCCTATATGTCCTTGCTCAGCTGGGAACCCGCACACCTCAGGGACGTATGGGGCCTGCTTGGGCTGGACTTGGCACAGGGATCAATATCGCATTTTTCGAGGCTACCCCTCGTTTTATCTGTCTACACGGTGCACTCGGGTTCAATTGGATGCACCTGCAATGGCCCTCCAGCCGACCAAAATGTGCATCTGGAGAACTTTGTTTCTGCAGTGACGAAACCTTTGTTTACCACCTCTTTCGGTGTCTTTGTTTAGCTGACGCGTGAGTGTTTCTTCGTCTCGCCTGGACATGGGCCGAAGGCCCCACCGAGAGCAAGGGCGTCAAGAGTCCCGGATTGGAAGGCACAACGCCAGCAGCGTTGGGCTGGCCGTTCCCTTCCACCAGCGTGCCCAAAGCGCCCGGGGTTAGCAAGGTGGCGGTGGTGGTAACCTCGCCAGACCTCGAAGCACAACGGAGATCATCGAACATCAACATGTTCTCACTTTTTCTTCGTTCAGCTTGCAGCACCCAAGATTCAACGTATTCTAGTGTATTCTATGTACCTATGATACAGCTCCAGGACCTACCTTTAACCTATGCTTCATTGTAAATTACAGTGTCTTGCTGACATCTTGGAACCTTTTCCCACTTGGTTGTTTTCAACACTTTCCGGGGGGGTCCCATATACTGTATATATGTGTGCCGGAGAAAAAATTGGTATCTAGCCTAAGGACATTGCATAGAAATGATCGGCTCCCATCAGCTATGCAGGATTGTTTCCTTCAGCAAGTGTCAAGCTTTGTTGGTGGCATCAAGCTTGCCATACTTTGGCACGCCAACAGTGAGGGCACGAATCAACTGCAGTAGTGGTTGTACAAGTTGTGGGGAGATGTCCTTCCATGGACACAACATGTTCAAAGTGGGCATCCGTCGGCATCGGTTGGCGCATCCGCAAGCATATGTTATATATATTATCGTATTGAGGATGCTGTTTAAGAAATGTTTATGTCTTCTCCATTTTGCCACCTGAAAGTTCTCTTGATAACATCCTTGGGGAAGTCTGTCGCGTCGCATGTTCATGTTTAAAGCTGACAGTGAAATAATAACTCCTTGATGTTTAAAGGATGGTTGTTGTTTGATACCGAGCTCTTTCGAGTCATCCCTTGATATAATCATAAAAGACAAAATCAACCAAAAAGATCTTCTTCTCCTTCTTTTTCTTTGCATCAAACAACCGTTTACTCAATGTGTCTGAACCCTTCCACTGTTCAATGTTGTCCTTAAACTGTGAAATTGCTTTATCATATACATATATTTATACTGTTTATCAACAGATATCAAACCTTTAATCATACTTTCTGCCATAGATACTCTTGGTATGTGTCTGTCAGTGTAAGGTTGGATGAAAGGTAGATCCGGGGATCGGGGTAGCGCGTGTATATATATATATATAGTATACATATGTACACATCAGGTTTAGTCAAGTCTTTTAAAGGCAAGATCCTTGAAGCTTTGATGGAAATCTTTCAGTCTTCGCCTGGGCCTACACCTTGAAAGCTTACTCATTGGAAAGCTGAAAGGGTTGGGAGTGCAAAGCCTGCTTCAGACAAATCGCCTTGGTGGACAACCAGGCCCAAAGAAACTGGCCCTAGTCACTGGCTTCTTGAGGGACCCAGCGTTTTTGGGCGCTGCTTGTTGCGGCGCTGGCGCTGGGTACGCTTCCACTCCTGGCAAGGGATAGTACAAGCCTTGGAATCAGAACACAATCCGCCAATGCTAAGAGTTCAGTTGCATTGGTTGCTGAGATTCGGGTTGTTGGGGGGATCCTTCTCCAGATTCAACACAACTCCAACTCAAGCAGCAGACTCAGCTCCAATCTCGTGGAGTGAAGAAACACCATCTTGAAAAATAAGCGGCCCTGTCTGCGAGAAGGAAGGAGTTCATGATTGGCTATCCGCTGAGAACCAGTGACGTCAATGTACGAAGAGAAATCTCTCATGTGATTCACAGCAGTTTGGAAGACCATAAACCCCATGCATGCTTCTTCCATGCAAGGGCTATACATATAATATATATATATGTACCCTATATATATATTAATAAAGCCTTGAGAATGTAGCAGGCGGCCGGGAAGACTATCAGAATCATTTGGCGTGGTGAATCGACCAAATGGAATCACACAAGCTGTGTGGCCTTTTTTGCTTGGGCATTCAAGCGCTGAAAACAGGAGTCATTAGTGTGTCCGATCCATTGCAATGCTTTGGTTCAGTGGATGATCGTATCACTTAAGTTTTCTGGTGCCGAGGCCAGCGCACATGCAATGCCCCGAAGACAATGCAGCAGAGAACTTATGTCTGACAAACCACATTTCAGAAGGTGGATGTTACAATCCCTCTCTTGAAAAAATACACATTTCAAACATGATTCCATTGGTGTCGCCGGAATTGCTCGAATTTCTCTGCCAAGCTTCCGTTTTGGAAGATGCAGGGTACATTTGCTCGCCAAGTCTTTTCTCCTGGCAAGTGAAACTCCTGTCGCCTCGAAGTAGACACAGAACATCGAGCATCCCAAATGCGATCTTCATGAAAACCGTAACCAAGCTGAAGCCATGCCCTATTAAAATGGTGGCGTTATTCAGCAAAAGGATGAGCGTCCATAGTTACATAAAAACAATGTTTTAAAAATATGTAAAGAAAACAACTTGTTACTGCAAGCTACAAATGTTTTGAGATGCACATGGATCCTTAAACGAACTCTTTCATGAGGCTACAAGCCCGAAATCAAAGCGTCAAGGGCGACGTGAGGCGGGTGGCCCGCTGCTAGGACGATCTACGGGAGCTTGGAGAAATCGCACTCAATTGCTGATGAGTTCAGGATCCTCAGAGTCTAGCTCCGCCAAATTCAAACTCTGTTGATTTCTCTTGAAGTCCAGCTTTCTTAACGGTATGGATACATCTAGGAGTACT